TTTAAAAGCATGAATTTTGCCTTCTTAAAATACTACGTTTGTGGCTGGGTGCCGTGGCTCATGCCTGTAATCCTAGCACTTTGGGAGGGCAAGGCGGGTGGATCATGAGGTCATAAGATCGAGACCATCCTGGCTAACACGGCAAAACTCCTTCTCTATGAAAAATACAACAAAAATTAGCTGGGTGTGGTGACGGGTGCCTGGGACTCAGGATGCTGAGGCAGGAGAATGGCGTGAACCTGGGAGGCAGAACTTGCAGTGAGCCGAGATCACGCCACTGCACTCAAGCCTGGGAGACAGAGTGAGACTCTGTCTCAAAAAAAAAAAAAAAAAAAAAAAAAATATATATATATATATATATATATATAGAGAGAGAGAGAGAGAGAGAGAGAGAGAGAGAGAGAGAGAGCATTTGTGTATTCTTTATCTTGCTTACTGAGTTTTTAGTGCTCAGGCCAGGGACCTCTGCTTTAAGGGTTAACAAGGCCAGTCACTCACTTGAGGTCCCATGATCGTAAGTGGGTTAGCAGGGCGTTCACCGAATCTGCTGGGAGTGGTCTCAGCAGCCAGGCTGGAGGCAGCAGCATGGTTTGCCTTCTGTCAGATCCTCATGCTCTCAGACAGAGGAAGGAAACCTGACTTAACACCAGCTGCTAAGTTGCTGTCAGGTCCTCTGGGGCTTGGGCCCAATGACTCTTTCTCTCTCAGCTGTGTTCTCATGAATGTGCTTCTTCTCCTGCAGGTCAGGAAAGAGGTTAAAGAAGACCCGCAAGTATGATATCATCACCACTCCAGCTGAGCGAGTGGAAATGGCGCCGCTAAATGAAGAGGATGATGAGGATGAGGACTCCACAGTATTCGACATCAAATACAGGTACAGGGTGGAGACAGAGGCTTCCTCCTGGTCTTGGGGCAGTGGGTTGGTGGGACCTCAAGGTCAGGCATGACGTCCATGTGTTCTTGTTTTTTGGTTAAGTGTTGGGCCCTGGGGTGTTCTGCACATGGAGAGACCTGCTCTGATCTTGTATTAGTCCATTTTCGTGCTGCTAATAAAGACATACCTGGGACTAGGTAATTTATAAGGAGAAGTTTAATTGACTCACATTTCCACATGGCTGCAGAGGCCTCACAATCATGGTGGAAGGCAAGGAGTAGCAAAGTCACATCTTACATGGATGATGGCAGGCAAGAGAGCTTGTGAAGGGGAATTCCCCCCTATAAAACCATCAAATCTTTTGAGACTTATGCACTGTCAGGACTAGAGCAGCACGGGAAGACCCACCCCCATGATTCAATTACCTACCAGGTCCCTCCCACAATACGTGGGAGTTGTGGGAGCTACAATTCAAGATGAGATTTGGGTGGAGACACAGCCAAACCATATCAGATCCCTTCCTAGAACACACTGCACCTGGAAACCCAGCAGAGAATTGCTTATTTATTGCTTTTCCCAAATGAGAACACGAAGTCACCTTTAAAGAAGGAAAAGGAGGATTGTGCTTCAGACAACAAGCTAGATGTCCACTGGCTGTGGGGGTCCGGCCCAAGCAGCCATGTGTGCCACACACTGGGCACCCAAACAGAAACTTATCTTTCAGCCTCACTTATGTCAATAGCTGAGGATGTGGGTGACTGGGTAGGTGGCATTCCTGCTTGGATGGAGTTTACCGATGAGCTCCAAAGGCAGGTGACTTTGTGACTTTAGGATTGTAGTGTGTGGGTTTTCAGATCATTTTGAGGTGTACTTTGAATATGTGAGCTTCTTAATGGAAGAGGTGAGGATGAGCATAGTTTTGAGATGAGGGCTCAAAGATCCAGAGAAGGGGCATTGCTTGACCAAAGTCCCAATTAGTAGTAAAAGTGGAATAGAAATGCAGGCCTGTCCCTGTCTGGGCTCCCCACATTCCGTGGCTTCTGCATGTCCGGGAAGACGAGCCTTCCACACCTGTGTTCCTCAGCACAGCCTTGGCGGTCCTTGGCCCTTCTGCATAAATCAGTTGTCAGATTCAACAAGACAAGTGTTTGGGATTTTGATTGGAACTGCATTGCCTGTAGATCAATTTAGGGAGAATCAGCACTTTTACTTTGACTTTTCCAATCCATGAATAGAGAATGGATTTTCCATTTATTGGGTATTTAAAAAAATGTTTTTCAGTACTTTCTTTTTTTTTTTTTTTTTTTTTTTGAGACGGAGTCTCGCTCTGTCACCCAGGCTGGAGTGCGGTGGCCGGATCTCAGTTCACTACAAGCTCCGCCTCCCGGGTTTACGCCATTCTCCTGCCTCAGCCTCCCGAGTAGCTGGGACTACAGGCGCCCGCCAACTCACCCGGCTAGTTTTTTTTTTTGTATTTTTTAGTAGAGACGGGGTTTCACTGTGTTAGCCAGGATGGTCTCGATCTCCTGACCTCGTGATCCACCCGTCTCGGCCTCCCAAAGTGCTGGGATTACAGGCTTGAGCCACCGCGCCCGGCCTTCAGTACTTTCAAAAGTTTACGTATAAATGTTTTATACATTTTTATTAGATATATTCTCACAGGTGTTTTACATTTTGATATGTAAATTTTTTACTTTAAAGTACTATTTTATTTATACTCATATCTGGAAAAAAGACTGTATTATCACGTTTACATACATACTGGTTTTGGAAGCTGAGTTTGTTAGTGAATCACACCTAAATCTTATGAAGAACTTGAAAGCATTAAAACGGATTGGTTATGGATAGCAGAATGGGAGAAAAATCCCCTTAGCTGTAATTTGCATTTTGGGTAAAGGGCAGCACCCTTTGAAAACAATCAAATCAATTGGTAATATTTATCCATACCACAAAATAATGCACAGTTAGCCCTCTGTACCTGAGGGTTCCACATCTGCAGGCTCAACCAACCACAAATTGAAAATATTCGGGCATGGTGGCTCATGCTTGTAGTCTCAGTACTTTGAGAGGCCGAGGAGTGCAGATCTCTTGAGCTCTGGAGTTTGAGACCAGCCTGGACCACATGGTGAAACCCCACCTCTACACAAAAAAATAATGCAAAAATTAGCCAGGCATGGTGGTGCATGCCTGTAGTCCCAGCTACTTGGGAGACTGAGGTGGGAGGATCACTGGAGCCTGGGAGGTCAAGGCTGCAGTGAGCCGTGAGCATGCCACTGCACTCCAGCCTGGGCAACAGAGCAAGGCCCTGTCTTAAAAAAAAAAAAAGAAAAAAGAAAATTTTGGGAAAAAAACAATACAACAGTGAAAATAATGCAAATCCAAAAAACAATATAGTATAACAACTATTTACCTCGTGTTTACATTGTGTATTAGGTATTAGGAATAATCTAGAGATGATTTAAAGTATACTAAAGAATGTGCATAGAATACTTGCAAATACTATACCATTTTATATAAAAGACTTGAGCATCTGTGGATTTTGGTCTTTGCAGGAGGTCTTGGAACCAATTCTCTGAGGATAACAAGGGATGACTGTGTACATAGGAAAGTTAGTGACTCTATTGAGTTTATCGCTAAGCCATTTTATCTGTCTCACACTCAATACAAAGAAGTAAAATATAATGTGAAGAAAACCATGTCCTCATCACTATTCACAGTCAAGAGTCCACTTCCTCCTGCAGGGCTGGGAATATTGTACAACAGGGAGCATTTAATGGTTCAAGTGGATCAATGTAGTGTTTTGATTCTGAGCCACTGAACAGCATCTCATCAATCTTTGGTGACTGAGCTAACTCCATGGGAACAATGATAGACGGAACGATTTTTGTGGTATCTCTACATCCCACTAAATAAGAGAAGACCCTAAACAAAGAAAAATATAACGATCAATCTGCTCAGAAATTCTCTTTATAGACTGTTTCCTAGAAGGTGGGAAAAGGGGCCTTTCCCTGAGGGCATAGACATCCATATTATTGTGGCCTGGTTGCTGGACTGATGTTGTGTCTGGTATGATGAAGATAAGGCACACATTGAAACCAGTGTCAGATTAAGAAATTTCCACAGCTTGTCTCTGTTCTTCAAACAATGGAGCGAGTTCCTTTTCTAGGCTGACAATGAGTGCCATATTGGCACTGCTGCTGGCTGTGAAACAGACTAACTACTAAAGGTAAACTACTAAAGGTAAACCACCTGGTGGGTATTAAAGTTAACAGACAAGTCCAAGCTTGTGTTTTGAAAGTCCAGGTTGGCTTGCTGGCTGGCGTGTTGCAAGGGCAAAAGTAAGTGAGACCCCTGGTCTGCAGGCATGCTCTGGGTCATTTTCGTTGGCCACTTTAATGATGTGCATTCCATCTCTATCTGACACAGCAATAGTGCGGGACCCGTCAACACTTGGTGTTTTTTTTTTTTTTTTTTTTTTTTTTGAGATGGAATCTTTCTCTGTCGCCCAGGCCAGAGTGCAGGGGCACTATCTTGGCTCACCGCAACCTCCGCCTCTCAGGTTCAAGCAATTCTCCTGCCTCAGCCTCCTGAGTAGCTGCGACTACAGGCATGTACCACCATGCACAGCTGATTTTTTGTATTTTTAGTGGTGATGGGGTTTCACCATGTTGGCCAAGATGGTCTCAATCTCTTGACCTCGTGATCCACCTGCCTTGGCCTCCCAAAGTGCTGGGATTACAGGTGTGAGCCATGGCACCTGGCCAACACTTGGTGGTTTTCAATACAGGAATAGTGTTAGCTTCCTGAAGCACCTTAGTGGTATCTCCTCTGCCCCTATTCTAGGCAGAAACTCCGGACCCTGCAGATCCCTCTGTATTAGTTTTCCGCTCCAGACCATCAGCCTTAAAGAACCCCTTTGCCCCACCGATCAATCTCCATGCCTGGGTTTCTGCTTCTGGGGCTGCCAGGTTCTCTCTGCTGTCATTCTGGGGACAGTGTCAAAAGCAGATTTCTCTGCAAGCCGCCACCTCATGATTCATGACTTTGTCTCTGATGTCTCTTAAAAAAATATTATCCTTAAACTTTTTGTTTATTGCAGTTATTTTTAAAAGATACTGATTTTTTAACAAAAATCCAGCAACCTTGCTAAACTTTTATTAATTCTTGTAGGATAAATGTGGAATCTTTGGGTCTTCTGTGTAGATATGTCATCTGGGACTAAGAAGAGTCCTTGTCCCTGCTCCCAAGTCCTTAAACGTTTTATCTCTTCTTTTGCCTTTTCTGCTTTCCTTCCTTGAGAAGTTTGTGCTGTTTGTGGTTGAAATAAAATCAGAATGTGAGTGAACTTGGAGGTGAGTCACTAGACACGAGCCCACTGCAGTCCTCAGGCCTAAAGATGAGTGACTGTTTAGAAAGACTAAGTAGTGCTGGCTTTTCTTGTTACAGAGGTAATGTTAAGCTGTAGAAAATACAGATAATAAACAGGAAAGATACAATTACCTATCATCTCACTACTTACCAGTAACCACTAGAGTGTGTGTGAGTACATATATGTGGAACTTTCTTTTTTATAGAAATAAGACTGTATTATACACGCTGTTTTGGCACATTTTTCTACCCAAACATTGAATCATGAGCAACTTTTCAGGTCAATAGGTGTGAAAGAACAAAGAGTTTAGGACATTGCATGTTTGGTTTAATGTTTTTGTGAACTTCTTTGTCTGCACATTGCTAATCTGTTCACAGGTACTTGTTTTTCCCATTTAGACATAACTCAGCCAAATGTTTCAGTTCTCTCTAGGAAACAGACTACATTTAAATCAGATGAATCATGACTTTGGGTTATTTTATGATTGAGTGGAAAGAGGAAAATCACGTTTTTGGCACCGGGGCAGTAAGGCAGAGTAACCTGCTTCTTATTCTTTCCCAGGCAACTCTCTGAGAACATCTTGTGACCTAGAGCCTTTGCCTATCAGCCAGGTTTTTTTTTTTTCTTTTTTTCCCCTCAAAGTTTTCAGCCAGGTAGGAAATGAAGGAGGAATAAGAATACAGGCAGCTTAGGAGATAAGACCTCAAGTGTGTAGGGCCAGAGTTTGGGGAGGGAGGGAGGAGTTCTATAGAAATGAGTCTCTAACTCTGTACTTAAAAAGGCTAATTAGAAGGGAGAAATGATAGCTAACTGGAGTATAAGAGTACCCTGGGGTTTTGAAATGGTTCTATCTTTCAAGAGGCATTTGGGTTTCCGCTGCATGTGTTTTGAGCTTTGTTGCCTAGTGTGCAGTTGTGTGGATGCTCTGGGCCTCTTTGCATTCCCGGTTTGTTACAGGAGACTTTGGTGTCCCCCAGGACGAGAGAGATGTGGGCTCTTCCTCCCGTGTGTGTGTGGCAGGCGGCCCAGCAGCTGTGACAGGCGCAGCCCAAAGGCACACTGCTGGGAGAACGCGCTGCTCCTGCCAGCCCTGCCTCCCTGCCAAGAGGGAGGTCCCTGTCCCCGCTTCTTATATGTGGAAAAGATGTGGCCCCGTGGGGTGTGTGGACGTGCATTCTAGAAATCCCTGCTTCCCACCCTCTTGTGGGTAGGGCTTCCTTCGGGAGTATAATTAGAAACCCATGAGATTTCCGCTGTAATGCTGAGGGCTTTGGCTGGTGTCTTGTCTTGGAAACCAAGGGCATTTTTGTGCGGCTTGCAGCATGAGGCCTCTGCAGGGTAGGCAGGGAGTATGGGAAAACAGACCTGGCTTGCTACCCGGGAGCTCTGAGTCCCCATGGATGCCCTCATGGCAGTTGCTAAACACACTCAAGGCAGTGACTTCTTGCAGCTGCTTCTACTTACTGAGGACCTCTGAATGGCTGAGCACCCCATGCTTCCTTGTGGTCTTCTGAGGGTGAACTGTTAGGAGCATCAACAGATGGACAGCTGCCTGGGCGGTAGGTATGGAAACAATGGGCATCATGAGCTTCTGAGGCCTGGAAGGAACCGGAGAGGAGCCACTGACTTGCAGGGTAACTATCTGAAACAGCATCGGAAGCCATCCCCAGACCAGTTTTAATAAACCTCTGCCAGTCCTCTTCCTTGCAGAATGCAGAGCATATGTGTTAAAAATGGGCATCGCCCGGAGAATTTTTGTTTGTTTGGGAAGCAATATTGGCAGCCTGCGGGCAGTTTTCATTTAAGGTGTCTCGCTCAAAGCCAGGGCACCTTAAAAATTCTTGTGTCTTATGTCTACAAGGATGGAGCCTATGTGAACAGGAATCTGATCAAACAAACAAACAAAGAGGAAAGGGAAAGAAAGAAAAAGAAACGAGGGAACCAAGGAAGGAAGGAAGGAAGGAAGGAAAGACGAACAACACAAATCATCCTAAGTATCAATGCTTTTGCAAAAGCAAGCCATGTTTTTCAGGTGTTCTTTTCTTGTGTGTCCCTGGAGGGTGCCGGACGCCACTGACAGGTGCTGCAACAGGTGCTCCTGTGTTGACAGCTATTTCACCTGTCAGACAAGCTTCTTGTAAAACATGGGCCAGACGCAAGTGGGGACATGTCATTCTCCTTGTGTGGGATGGTTGTAACCCGGTGTCATCCTATAGCACAGTGGGAAATCTGAACAAGCCTGGGCCGTGGCAGCTAAATATGCCTTCATTTCCTACAGAGATTTTGGTGGGGGTGGTGGTCGGCATTGACTCTTTCTGACTTACCTTAACAATGAAATGTCACTAGCAATTTGGCAGTTCTGGGGAATGAGAAGGGGGGCTGAGAGAGGCCTTTTGGAATCTCTGCTTGTCATCTAGAGTGTGTCTAGTTGGTGAGCCTGATAATTCCCTTCACCATGAGTACAGGCTAGGTAAGCCTGGCCTTGCCCTCGAGGGGCCTGTGTTGAGAGTGGGAGACAGCAGGAGCATGGCCACTTGTTTTTTTTTTTTTTTTTGAGACGGAGCCTCACTCTTGTTGCCCAGGCTGGAGTGCAGTGGCCCCATCTTGGCTCATTGCAACCTCTGCCTCCCGGGCTCAAGCGATTCTCCTGCCTCAGCCCCCTGAATAGCTGAGATTACAGGCGCCTGCTACCACGCCCAGCTAATTTTTGTATTTTTAATAGAGATGGGGTATCACCATGTTGGTCAGGCTGGTCTCGAACTCCTGACATCAAGTGATCTGCCCGCCTTGGCCTCCTGAAATGCTGGGATTACAGGTGTGAGCCACTGTGCCTGGCTGAGCATGGCCACTTCTAAGACCACCTGGCTCTCACAGAGGAAGGAACAGGTGCTGTGGGCAGCCAGGAAGGGGGCAGTAAGTTCTTCCCAGAGGAGGTGAAACTTACGAGTTTGAGAGGACCAGGAAGTGAGCCCAAGGTGGCTCAACGTGTAGGGAGTAGTGAGGGCATTCCAGGGAGAAGTTACAGCAGGTGCAGGCACAGGGACGTTTGAGCCAGCATAGGGATGTTGGGTGAGCGGCAGCTTTGATCCTCTGTCCCCCAAGCCACTCCTCGGGGGAACCCCAAAGCTTCTGGCCCATAGATGGCCACAGGGAAACAGCTAGATGACGTTGAGAGAGCCAGGACTTTACAACCAGCCTCCTCTGGAGACAGCCTGTTCCCTCCACTGTCCCTGGAGTATTGTTCGTGAGTCCCAGTCACCCCAGAGAGCCTGAAGGCCCAGCCAACTACATGGCTGAAACTTGGGGTATGGCTCTACCATCTCCTGGAGAGACCCAGAGAGCCAGTGGCCAGGCCTGACCTGGGCAGGCGTTGGCATGTGCGGGTGGACTTCTCCCCGTGGAGGAGCGTGAAGGATTCTGCGATGAGCAGTGTGGCTCCTACTTTGTACTGTGTTTTTTTTTTTTTTTTTTTTTTTGACGGTCTCGCTCTGCGCCAGCTGGAGTGCTGCGGATCTCAGCTCACTCGCCCCCCCCCCCTTCTCCCTCGCCCCGAGTGTTGGCTACCCCCCCCCCCGGCTAGTTTTTGTATTTTTTAGTAGACGGGTTTACGTGTAGCAGGTGGTTCGATTCCTACCTCGTGATCCCCGTCTCGGCTCCAAGCTGGATACAGCTTGAGCCACCGCCCGGCATGTGGCGTTCTTAAGTACACGGATAGAGACAGCAACCTGAGGGTGAGGTGAGGGCAAACAGCATGGTAGGGGATCCCCGTAAGATTCAGAGCAGTTCCGTGGGATGCCCAGACACTCACAGAGGTGAATTTCAGCATGGCAGTGGTACAGAGTTTGCATCTCCGTTGATTCTGCCGGCTGCTTTCTCCAGAGCCCACAGGCCTGCTGTGGCCAGATCTGCTCTGGCACAGCTATGGTGATCAGGTCCCTGCCCTCAGCTCTGATTCTTGGTCTTTGAAATCTTCACTGCTCCTCCTCAGTTCCTGTGCCCCCACCCCTCATCCTCGACTTTGACCTTGCAGCAAGAGGCAGTGGAAGGCCTGATGGTGGAGTCAGACCTGGTAGGAGCCTTAACATTGGGGGTCCTTAGTCCCTTCCTCTTTGCAGTGGGGGATATGAGTGCTTGGGCTTTGAGATGTTGGTTTGAGAGGATAGATCCCCCGACTCCCCAACCCACAGAAGGGGCCAGGGGATCAGTATAAGAAAGCCAGCCTCCTGTACAGCTTGGACATGGCTTGCTGGAGACTTTTCTCTTTCTCTAGTCTGTTGAGTAGGGTTTTTTTTTTTTTTGAGATGATCTTGCTCTGTCACCCAGGCTGGAGTGCAGTGGCAAGATATTGGCTCACTGTAGCCTCAACCTCCTGGGTTCAAGTGATCATCCCACTCAGCCTCTTGGGTAGCTAGGACTACAGACACACGCCACCATGTCCAGCTAATTTTTGTAGTTTTTGTAGAGACAGGCTTTCATTATGTTGCCCAGGCTGGTCTCTAACTACTGGGTTCAAGTGATTCTCCTAACTGGACCTCCCCAAGTACTGGGATTACGGGCATGACCCACCGTGCCTGGCTTATGTTTTCTCTTTAAACAACTTTTTATGTGGAAAAAAAATTAAATTTCATGCAAAAATAAAAATAGTGTAGGGAACTCCCTTGTACTTTTAACTCATATTTTCCTGTTAACGTTTTTTGCCTGTTTGCTTTCTGATTCATCCGTGTATATATGTGTGTGTGTGCACACAAACGGTTTTTACTAAACCATTGGAGGGTAAGTTATATATATCATGGCCCTTTCCTGCAAATAATTATGTATTTCCTAAAAATAGGATGTTTACATCTTCTAGTAAATAGCTACCTGATATGGTAATGTATTTGGTATTATGTAATATTATGACAGGCAGTTCATTATTTTGTAAATTCTATTAAATCCTTGTTATTTTTGCTCATGTAATTATATAATGCCCATAATGAAACATCAAGAGGTGATGGTGGCAGCTTTAACTGGTCAAATTTTCCCTCCTTTTCTAAAGTCCCTTTTGATGATGTCTTGAGCAGATTCAGTTTTTTTTTTTTTTTTGAGACAGAGTCTTTCTCTGTCACCCAGACTGGAGTACAGTGGTGCCATCTCAGCTCACTGCAACCTCTGCCTCCCGGGTTCAAGTGAGTCTCATGCCTTAGGCTCCTAAGTAGCTGGGATTACAGGCGTGTGGCACCACACCTGGCTAATTTTTGTAGTTTTAGTAGAGACAGGGATTCACCATGTTGGCCAGGCTGGTCTTGAACCCCTGACCTCAAGTAATCCACCTGCTGTGGCCTCCCAAAGTGCTAGGATTACAGGCGTGAGACACCACGCCTGGCCGCAGATTCAGTTTTTAAACTTATTTTTTTTTTTGAGACGGAGTCTCGCTCTGTCGCCCAGGCTGGAGTGCAGTGGCGCAATCTCGGCTCACTGCAAGCTCTGCCTCCGGGTTCATGCCATTCTCCTGCCTCAGCCTCCTGAGTAGCTGGGACTACAGGTGCCCGCCATCACGCCTGGCTAATTTTTTGTATTTTTAGTAGAGATGCGGTTTCACCGTGTTAGCCAGAATGTGATCCACCTGCCTCGGCCTCTCAAAGTGCTGGGATTACAGGCTTGAGCCACCATGCCTGGCCTAAACTTATTTATTGTACTTCTTATGTTGTCTGACACTGTGGTGTGGGCCTGGGGTTTAAAGGTAAGGAAGCTTAGACGTGGCTTTTGTCTCAAGCTCCCAGTCTAAGCAAGAGACCAACGCTAATCAGATACATAAGCCAGGGGTCAACAAACTATGGCCCAGGGACCAAATCCAGCCCGCTGTCTGTTTTTGTACAGCTCAGGAGCCAAGAATGATTTTCACATTTTAATGGTTGAAAAAGAACTAAAGGAAAAATACTATTTTATGACAAGAGAAAGTAATATGCAATTCAAATTTCAGTGTCTATAAATAAGATTTTACTGGAACACAGCCATGGCCAAGCATTTCTTGCCGTGGCTGCTGTTCCACCACCACAGCAGGGTTGAGGAGTTATCACCGTGATTGCGGGACCTGCAGAGTTTACAGTATTTCCTCTCTGGATTTTACAGAAGAAGTTTTCCAACCCCTAGTGTAAACACCCTGGAAGTGCTGGCAAGGAGGGATAGATACAAGGAGAAAGAGGTTATGTTCTAGGGAGTCTGTGTGGGGAGCTGGGGGAGGGATCCTTAGTTGGGAGCTGAGGGGAGGGAGGGGGTTTTTCTGGAAGAGTGGATTGTGCCTTCCAGACAGCACACTCAAAGGTCCTGTGGCTGGGGACTGTGACCTTTTCAATGGCTGAGAGGGTGAGGGATAGAGATGTTCAGGAGGGGTCAGAATGGGTGCGGGGCTCTGCCGGAAGGGGCTGACTCTTGTCCTTCCCTTTCTTTTAGGTAAAACCTGTTTCCCAGCCTGTTGGCATCCTGTGGAAAGTTGGTCAGCTGCAACCTGGGGTGTGAAGACCTGGAAGCCCTCTCACGTCAGACGTGTTGAAACCAAAATGAACGTTATGTATAAAACCCCAGCTCCATTGTGGGTGTCAGGCGTCTGCTCAGAGTGTCACTGGCAAGCTCGTTTCCACATCACCACAACGGAGTTGCTTCTGCCACCCTTTGGGCGCCCCTTTAAAGTGTCCCCCACTTCTACTCCCCGTGTGAGAGGCTTTGTGCCTTGCTACGGAGCAAAGGGTAGAAACATGTTGATTTTAAAAAAGTTTTTTTAAGACAATTGTTGACAATAGTAAAAGAGATCAGGAGGATCAAGAATCTAAAACAAGCCTGAAGGATGTCCAACTGTGTATTTAGAATTTCTGACATTCTTCTCTACTGGATCTACACATTGGACCCCATCTGATCCTTTGCTGTTTTTTTGGCTTGGTCAGGTCCTGGCCTCATTTTGGCATTACCTGTGTCAGAGTTCAAGGTGGATGTGCTTAGAGCTGGTCAGCCCCTTCCAGACCTGGACACATCTGTGGTTCCTTTCCCTCCCTCCCTCCCTCCTTCCCTCCCTCCTTCCCTCCCTCCCTTCTCTCTCTCTTTCTTTCCTTCTTTCTTTCTCTTTCTTTCTTTCTTTCTTTCTCTTTCTTTCTTTCTTTCTTTCTTTCTTTCTTTCTTTCTTTCTTTCTTTCTTTCTTTCTTTCTTTCTTTCCTTTCTCTTTCTTGAAAAAAATGTTCAGCAGAAATCAGCGTGGCTACTTCACAAAGAATTTCTAGTATCAGGGAAAAACTGTGTGCACTTGTGCTCATGTGCACATGTGTGATAAAAGTTTCTCCTTCTCTGAAGGGAAAGGAAAGTGCTAGGCAGCTTGTGATTAGCAGCATTCTTTGTGCTTTTTTGTTGTTCCTCTGCTCTGTCACAGTTCTACGTTGTTTGCCTTAGAAATGTAATTTTTAAAAACCATTTTAAAAATGAATGGTGATTCAGCTGGCTGGAAAAAAGCACACTGTCAGGGGGACTATATTTGAAGTCAGTCTAGACTGGGCTGGACTAGAAACCCGCCTGGACCCAGGAGGCCCCACAGGACCCAGGAGGTCCCTGCGGGAAGGCAGAGGTTCAGGTGAGAGTGGCTCACCTCTGAGCTGGTGAAGTGAAGACTCGCTGGTGATGTGACCCAAAGATCTGCTGCTGGCTTCTGGAGACAGGGCCTTGGGCTGACTTCTCAGGTTGATCAAGGCCTCCCGACGAGCGGTGTTCCCAGGCTAGAGGTGATTGGCTGCAACAAAGACGCTTCTAGTAGTCTATTAGCAGTGCCTTTGGGACCCTGGGATTTTGCTGTCTCTAGAAATGTGTTTTTAATTTTTTTATTTTTTATTTCCCCCTTTTTTCCTGGCGTTGCTCCAGGGTTTATGTATTTGCCTGTTTATTGTCCTGCTCTCTTTTTTTGGATGAAAACTCCAGCCTTTCCTGACTCACCTCCATCTTCAGGTTCTTCAGTTTTCTGAGAAGAGTGGGGATATGTGGGAAGGGGCATGGGAGCTCGGCAGCCTCCACCTGCCAGGAAGGCAGTCTGGCCTCTGCAGGAAAGAGCAGAGCCCGTGGGAAGCCCTGGGTGAGGATGGCGCAGCTGGCCCACCATGCATGGCATTGCCAGCCACGGGGGGCCTGTGTGTAGTGTCTGCTCCCTGCATTTCACCTTCTTTGTTGACTTTCCTTCTCTGTTTTCCCCCATCTGTTTGCCAGAGGGGTGGGACTGGCAACAGAACAGCCGTGGCTGCTTTATCTCTCCTCTCCACGGTGTACTCAGGCCTGAGTGGTGACTCACGGGAGCCCAGCCACCTCGCAGCTGTTCGCCCCCTCAACCTTTGAACTGGAACTGCTGGCTCATACAGGGTTTTCGACCACTGCAGCTGAACCTCATGGAAAAGCTGGATTCCTCTGCCTTACGCGGAAATACCCGGGCTCCATCTGCCAGGTGCTCGCCACTGGTCCTGGTAGAAGTGGCAGCTGCTGAGAGTGACCTTCCAAATCCTTGGTGGCACTTCAGCACTACAGGCTCTCCAATAAAAACCCTTTAGACACAAACCCTGTGTACCTTGGGCTTGGATGTTTTCTGTGGTGCAGGCCAGCGAGGCGCCTTTTGTGAAGACAGATGTGGGCCCAAGGCTGAGGAGGAGGGTGGGGATGGGTGCTGGGTGGGAGGTATTTGGATCCTGGTGATTTAGAGAAAAGCTTGGAAATGAAAAAGGCTTGGGGGTGGAGGGGCGTGCATGCTGTTTTTACATCTACATACACAATTTACATTTACATATACAATTGGAGGCTCACTTGCTCATTTCCTGGAAGCTTGCTCCTTGGCTAGGAAATACTGAGCCCTAATTGTTTCCAGAGAATCTTGGGGCATCTCCAGAGAAGACAGAATCAATCACATAAAAAACTGCTAGCTTGTAACTGCCTCATACCTGGCTTGCTTTACTCTATGAGTAAGTGTGGAATGTATCTGGGCTGGGTGCACAGCGAGGTGAGCAAAAGCCAGAGGAAAAGCGCATTTGCTGCTGTTCCAACTGGTTCCCTTGGAGGTCACCAAGAAGCTGGGAGTGTGGTCTGTGTCCCTCCTCCGCGAGGAGCTACTCCTGTGCTCGGTCTTCTCTACAACCGCAGCAGTGACTAAGGTTCTCCAGGGTAGCTCTTTCTTCAAATAGCTGCATGGGAAGTCAGCCCTGGAGAGTGGGTTTCCCCACCATCTCAGTCTTCTCAGAGAGTGTCCTCCACTGAGTACCCATCCTGTCAGGTTGGCTTGTTCAGACGCCCGGGGACAAGCCAGCCTGACGGTGAGGAGGGTGTTTCAGCGTCTGCAGCGGTCTCTGCATGGCGGAGGGTCGGCTGGTACTGCAACTTGCCTTTTGGTTTTGAAGATTCTGTTGAGGCTCCATCCTCACCTTGACCTCTTCTACAAAATCTGTTTCCCCTGCTGTGCCGTGGAACACCTGCGGGAAGCCAGTAAGTTAAAGTCCTAACATCAAAGCCTCTCCCTCTACTGCCTGCATCTCCTGTTATGAAAGCCTGAATTGTATGGTTATTCTTACACCATGTGGGGATGGGAGATGCTTTATAAGGACATGGCACATTAGCCTCAAAGGGCCCTTGATGCAGTGGTAAGTTTGTGTCCCGTGCTTGCCCCCTTTGGTGAAATTCTTGGGTGTTGGTATCATTTTAAGGGAATCAGGGGAAATTACCCAGAAGAGCAGGGTCTGTAGGAGAAGAGGGGTAGGCATCAGTGACCCAAAATTGCTGGTGAGATTTGGCAGCTGAAGCCATTTAAAGAGATTGGCAGCTGGGCGAGGTGGCTTATGCCTGCAATCCAGTACTTTGGGAAGCGGGTGGATCACCTGAGGTCAGGAGTTCAAGACCAGCCTGGCCAACATGGCGAAACCCCGTCTCTACTAAAAATATAAAAATTAGCCTGGTGTGGTGGCAGGTGCCTGTAATCCCAGCTGCTCGGGAAACTGAGGCAGAAGAATCACCTGAACCTGGGAGGCAAAGGTTGCAGTGAGCTGAGATCACGCCACTGCATTCCACCCTGGGCAACAAGAGCAAAACTCTGTCTCAAAAAAAAAAAAGAGTTTAGCACCTTGGTGTTGCCAGTTGCTGAAGAGGGGAGAGGAGGGTTATGTTACAAGCATCACCAACAAAGAGCATTGTGACTCATCAGAGGGGAGAGCAATAGTAAAGACTTTGGGGATGATGCTGGGCTGCCTCCCCAGCCACCCACCTTCCCTGCACGCACTTCTTGTAGCAGCATCATGAGTTTGCAGGTCCAGATGTTGCTTGTATTGTAACCACAGCGCCCTGTGCCCGCCTGTGCCTCCTGTATTTGGGTTAGATATTTTCTTATGCAAATAAATGATTTAATCTTTTCAGGGTGAGGAGCGAGCCCTGGGGACCTGGAAGGTGTTCACTCCAACACCACTAGTTCAGGAAAAGGGTCTGCCCCATAAGGCCCCAGGCTGCTCCTAATGACAGGTGCAAGCCGGTGCTTCCCTCCAGCCCGGTGGTGCCACAATTGCTTGTGGTTTTTATTTATCAGAGAATTCAAGAACACCTGATGTGGACTCAGTGTACACAACATACCACTTGTGAAAACCGAGTTTGTTTTCCATTATTTTCGAGAACTAAATAGAAGTGACTGTTCGGGTGGCTGTCGTGAGCTACTCCCTGCCTTGCTACCTGAGTCTTCTTGGGTCCAACAAGTACTTGGGTGTGACTTTCCTTGTAAAGTGCCTCAAAGTTTGCTGGTATTTTTTGTTATGCTTAGTTGGTTTATCAGCAAGCTCATTTTCCCTGGGATGGGTTTTTTGATGAGCCGAGTTGATGTGGACGGGAACACAAGGAGCTCTTGTGTATCTGTTGGCAAAGCAGGTGGCCCACTATCTCTAGTATAAATGTCTCAATGGCTGATCTGGCCTGGGTGCTGTGAACAGGCTTCTTATTGTGAGCAGGTAAGAGTGTTGTGAATGAATTATCCCCAGAGTCTGCAAGACAGCCAGTCAGGTGGTGCTGAGTGTGGTGGGAAGAGGAATAGAATGCAGACAGACAGGCGTGTGTTTCCGGCCTCACTGTTCACTCACGAACCCTGTGATCTTGGCCCTGCTTTTTCCATCTGCATTATAGGAACACACCTCTTTGGTTATTGTGATCATTAAAATATGTAATTTAGCCAAATATCTGCAGGTGCCTGGCACCACCAGCACCACCAGGAATGGTCGTCACCAGCACCACCACCTCTACCATGAATAGTTTTTGAGTTCTTCCTGGGTGCCAGGTGCCTTTGCACACACACTTATTCAGTCCTTAACAGCATCCTTTAGGTAGGTATTATTCCTAGAACAGACTGACCATTTCCATAGGCCCAGGGCTGTTTCCCCTGAATTATATTCACCTCCCTGGCTATCCATAAGAAAACATTGATTTGCTTGGCACTTTGTCATCCTTTGAGTCCTGCCAACAGGGTGGTGAGGTAGGTGTTTGTCTTCATTTTGTACACACAAGGCTGGGAAGGTCAGTCACGGCACAGGATCACATGGTTTCTAAGGGGTAGGTCTCAAACCACCAGTCTCCTGCCCTCTTCAGTATTTTTCCCTGAAGGGAAGAGGAAGGGACTTTTCTTTTGAGACCAAAACAGCTCACACTTGGGATAGCATAAGACATCAGCTCTGGGCCAAAGAGACAAGGTCATATGTTCCAAGAGGCTCCCACTCTGGCTGCAGCTCCCCAATGGGGAAAGAGGTCTGCAGGGAAAAAGGGACATGTCCCCTGGACCCCCAGATCCTTCCTTTTCTATAATTCTCTGCCCAAATGCCCCTTTGCTAGCTCCCAGGGCCTGCACAGGGTTCATCTTCCCTAGGGCCACTTGTATGCCCATGCCTTGGCTGAGAATGGCCAGCTGTGACTGAGATGTGGACATGGCTGGAGCTCAAATATGCAGCCTGGGGTGTCCATACTTATGTGCAAGGCCCCTTGCTACAATGACTGGATGGGGATGGCAAGAGAAGGGGAATGGGCTGCAGACCAGGGGCCTCCACCGATATCCTGGTGGAAGGGCGGTGTCCCTTTGCCAAGATGCTGAAATGCCCAGCTTGCCCATGAGGCAGTGGGAGGGTTGAATGAGATAAAGGCACACACAGTGGGTGCTTGATAAATGGGTGTCATCTTATACATCCGCAGGTTTTCAGAGAGCTACAGGCATGATGCTGGGGCCTGCTGGAATGCAAAGGTGGACAAGACAGGCACACTCCTGATTCATAAGGCTGTTGGTGTAGGAGGGAGATGAGGTTTGTACACAGAGCACTGGGTGGCCACCATCTGCTTTACTGAGGCATCCCAGCAGCCAAGAGGATCAGCTACTATTTATTGAGCTTTTAATATGTTCCTGGCATTGCGTTGAAGACTTTACATGCATTGTAAAGACACTCATTTGCATAGTAAAACTAGTTTAGACTCTGGAGCCAGACTCCCTGGGCTGGAATCCTGGTTCTAACATTTGCCACTTGTGTGGCCTTAGGCACATCTCTTAACCTCTCTTTGATACCCTCTCTTTATCTGTAAAAGGGAAACAACAGCAGTACCTACCTCATCTGGATATTATGAATTGGATGTTTTGATGTCTTTAAAGCACTACCAGGCACATAGCACTAATTCATTAATGTGTCCAGCAACACTACAAAGTAGTTTCTCTGTTGGGATGTTTACTTGTCAAGCTAGGAAACCAAGGCTTTGGTAATAAACGCACCCAGATCCCTTGCTAGCAGTGGTCTGTCTGCTGCTTGGAGGCCTGGATGCTACCCACAGTGCTACATTGCTGGGACTTGGCCTAAGGTCAGGGCCAGCCTTGCAGAAGGGTGGGCCCTGATCCCAACCAGGTCCCTCGGCTCTCGGCCCTGCGAAAGCTACGGAGTTGTGTGAGACTGCAGAGGCCCAGAGAGAGTGCTGAGGTTGGGGGGTCCCCTGAGGCTGTTCTCTTTCTTGGGGGTAAGAAGTTGGTGGTGACTGGTGCTTGGGAGATTGGGGCCCATGGATGTATCTCTGGTTAGAGGAGGAGGATGAAGGTGGAGAGGAGGCTTTTTTGTTTACCTGCATAATCCAGCCCCTCCATTTCTTTTCTTTTCTTTTTCTTTTTCTTTTTTAATTTGGAGAAAAGGTCTTGCTCTGTCACCCAGTGGCATAATCATGGCTCACTGCAGCCTCAACCTGCCGAGCTCAAGCGATCCTCCCACCTCAGCCTCCCAAGTAGCTGGGGCTACAGTCTCGTGCCACTACACCCAGCTAGTTTTGAATTTTTTGTAGAGACAGGATCTTACTGTTACCCAGGCAGGCCTCACAGTCCTGGGCTCAAGTGATCCTCTCTCTTGCCTCGGCCTCCCAAAGTGTTGGAGTTATAGGTGTGAGCCTATAACCCCAACAAGGTGACAATATCCATTTCTTAAAAGCAGAATGAATTTAGCTTCAGGGAAGCAAAGTCGGGCAGGTTGGAATATTATACCCAGTAGAATGTCTGAGATCTCCCTCTGAGATCTCCCTCTTGCCACCTTTATTATGGGCACTTCAGAGGTGGCAACTTTGGGTGACACAGGCCCACCATCTTAAGGGTTACTGTCCATGTCCCCAGTGCTGCTGTCATCTTCCCTAAGGGGAGCACCTGTGCTCCCCTTCATCCTTAGATGTGGGGTTCTTGTTTAGATTTGTGGGGCACCTTGATTCCAAATAGTCCCATTTCTTTAATGAGCATTTAGGAAACTGTCAGATCATGTGTCCCAATGTTGCTTCAAGACTTGACCACTTTGATAGACATGAACTAATTCCAGTGTCTTCTAGATTCATTAGTTAAAAATAGGACTTGGAGTTATGAGAAACCATTTCAGATGGATTTAAATAAAATAGCTGAGTTTTGATAAAAAGTATATTTATTATAAAAGTGATCTTTTAACTGGTGAAAGTTTGGAAGACTGGTAATTATAAAGAAGATAAAATAAGGTATCTAGATCATAACCCTGATTAGCATTTTGGTAGATTTTTCTCTGAACTTTTCCCCTCTCTGCCTCCCTCCCTTCCTTCCTCCCTCCATCTCTTCCTCTCTTCCCTCCCTCCCTGCCTTCCTCTCTTCCCTCCTTCTTCCTTCTCCCCTTCCCCCACTTCCCTCCCTCACTCTCTCCTCCCCCCCCCTCCCTTCCTTCCTTCTCCCCTCTCCTCACCTTCCCTCCCTCTCTCCCTTCCTCCCTCCTTCCTTCCTTCCTTCTCCCCTCTTTCTCTCCCTACCTCTCTCCCTCCCCCTTCTCTCCCTCCCTCCCTCCCTCCTTCCCACCCATCCATCCATCCTTCCCACCCATCCATCCATCCTTCACTCACTCATTTGCAAACGTGTATTGAACTCCTGCTTGTGCTAGGCACTATGCTAATTGGAAGGCTCAATAAAGTGAATCTGGGGAGGACCAGGACACATCACTGCCAGGGATGACAGAGAATAAAGTGCTGTGACAGGGACATGGGGGCATCTGATGCCTGACAAGAGAGGGACCGACTACCTGGACAAAGAGTGACCTCTGGCCTTGTGTGTGCCTTGCTGTTGTTTCCTCTACAAAAGTGGGTCATCTGACCTGATTTTTTCAGTTAATTTTATGAGCATTGCCCTATGACCATTAATATTTAAAATGGCCTTTTAAGCGACAGCCTTCCCATTGTCTTTTGTGGGATTGCAATACTGAGTGGCCTATCTCCAACCTGTATTGGCAAAAGCTATGGACGAGAGAGGCCTCATGGAAAAGTACAAAGGGAGAGGCCTTGGGGTCTGACCTGGCTCCCGAGAGCTCAGATTCTGGGTAGTCTCCTTCCCTCCCCCTTGTTCTTCCCCTTGGACCCCCTTTCAGTCTTTCAGTCTGAACCTTAGAGAAGGATGCAGCCCACCTAAGTGCTGAGCCCCACTTGCTGTGACCGTCATTGTTTCTGCACGGTGACCGGGGAACATCTGCTCCCTGCCAGGCCCAGCGATTAGGACCAGAGTATGTGCAGTTCTGATCCTGTGTTCTCCCCTCCCCTGGCAGAGAGAAGCCCAGTGACTGTCCTTGTGTCATTTGAGCAGAGCCCACAAAAGGCAGCTGCTGCCCACGGGGGGCCTATCAAATGAGGGCTCAGTGGGCAATGTGAGCTGAAGCTCCTTGACCATGACAAGCCTATCAAACCCCACTGGCTTTCCCCCAACCAATGCAGGCTACAAGTACCCCGGTGACCCTGATGTGCAGTGAGTCTCCCTGAACCCTGTCCCTGAAGCAGCCATTGTGTAGGGTATGGATTCAATTTTATTTTCTCGCAGGTGTCTATCTAATTGTCCCAGCACCACTGCCTTTGGATGCCGCTTGTGTCTGAGTCTACATCATTTGTCAGAGTTTTGTGTATCGTTTTTCTGAGGTAGTAATAGTCATCCTCTGGACGAGGTCCTAGAACCTGGAAAGTTCCAACCTGAAAGTCTGTACCCAGGGACAGAACCCTGTTGGGCAGGATGACAACGAGGAAGTTTCTAGAGCGGGCGTTCACCTTGAAGGGGACCTTGGAGATCAAGGAGTTCAGAGTCCTCGTTCCATACCCAAGGACCTATGGGCTTGGAGAGTTCATATGAATTCCAACCATTTTCTCCATGGGAGGGAACGCTCTCTCTGAGCCTGGACATCTGTCCTGGAGCCCTAAGCAAGTCTCTGTGGGAGGCCAGTGGCTTCCTCTCCCTGCAGTTCTTCCTTCTATACCTGTGCCTTGTGGCTTTCCTGCCCACCTCAAAGGAGGATATCCAGGGCGTATCAGGTATACACAGTCACCCACATCCAGACTGTGAAGGGCGTGGCCACTGCACACAGGACCAGAGAGAGGATTTGGACATGTCTGTAAATAAGCCTCAGGTTCACAGCACGGTGCCTTTCAAGGGAGGCACTGTAAGTTCACTGAGCAAGGGACCCAAGAGTCTGAAACCCTCGAACGTCACCCTGTGGGAGATCAGGACACATTGTGTAGGGCTGTGACCCCAACTGGATGGTCAGATCCAGTGTGGCCTCTGCCGTGGGGGCTTCAGCTGCATGTTTCTCGGTCTGGAGACCCCAGCAGAGCCTACCCAAGCTGTGGGGAGGAGGCTCCACTGCTGGGGGTTCTTTGACAGGGTGTTTGGTGTTAGAGGCCCAGGGCCAGAGCACCAGGGGCCCCAGTGGGAGGAGCCAGGTGTAGGGATGCCACCAACCGGCCCAGCTGCGGGAGGCCCGCAGAGGCTAAGTTAAGGTGGTGTGGAAACGTCTGGGAAGTCACCTAGGAAGCCTGGATGGAACGCGCTGTGTTCTGATTCAGTGGATCTGCTGTCTGAGACGCCGCATTTCCAACAAGCTCCCAGGAGTTGCTGGTGCTGCTAGGCTAGGAAGCACATCTTAAAGAGTGAGACTTTTAGGCTGCTTTTTTTTTTCTACATCCTGCTTACAGCTTCTGATTTCTAGCCCTGGAGGTGTAGGCCACAGCCCCGAGTAACTCAAGCCCCACCTGCTTCTCTCCAGGGTTCCCCAGCCCTCCACTCTTCTCCCAGCGTCATTCACATCATCTTTGATTCTGGGTTTTGTCTGCCCCCTGATCCCCCTCTCTTCTGCAGCACTTCTCAGATAACCCCTGTATTAAAATCACAGAGACCAGACACAGATGCCCTGGCTGGGGGATCACACATGTGAGCCTGCAGACAATTCCATATACCCAAGGCCAGGAAGGCCCACGTGAGGATGTCACCCACCCTAGAGGAGACTTGGATGGGGTGGCAAATTTCTCTTTGGAGGAAGAGGGTTTCCAGGATGGCAGATGCCAGAAGATGGTCCTGATGTCTGAGGAAGGGCCACGTAGTCTGATAGGATGGTGGGTCGTGAGCACACTCAGATATTTGGCTAAGTCTTTCTGATGAGTGGAAGAGACTTCAAAGAGTACTACAGAGTGTCCTTTCCTTCTCAGTAGCCAACAGGTGAAAAAAAACCCAAAAAATCTTGATTCAGAAAGAGAGGGTCTAGCCGTTGAGGAGTGTATCCTGCAGGGCCTGCCTCATCTTGCAGGACAGATTGGCAGAGAGGAAGTCTTGCCATGATGTCCTGCCTGCCAAGTGTGATGGGCAGGTCCCAGGGAAAACAGGCACTGCTGGGCTCCCCAGGAGCCAGTGCATCCAGGAAAGACCAGGGCCCAGGGGGAAGTTAACACACATAAAAAGATGCTGCATGTACTCATGTGTGTGATTGGGGTTCACTCTGGGCTATAGAAAGATGAGCTTTAGGCCAAATAATCACTATCTATACAGGGGAATGATGGCAGTGGGACATATGAATACAGTAAAGGACTGTATTTGGAAATTAGCTGGGCAGTGACACAAATTGGCCCAAGAAAGATATAGATGCAGAGGAGAGAAAGAAAAATATTCTGAAACTCTTGAGTGCAATGTCCACAAAGCAACAAGTTCAAACTTTGCAAGTCGATGTAAAGAATCCTGAGACAGGTGTGTGAGAACAGTAGACCTGCAGGTGGGGGATTGCAGATGCCATGAGGAATTGCAGACTTTTGTCCATAGGATTCTTCAGATTTGTAAGGGTTCCTTTTGTATGTGGGGGTCTACATGGTATACGAGAAAAGGCAAATGGGTATATGGGCAGCTGAGTGGATTCTCAGCAGGTCGGGAGGAGGACAGCAGGATGGTCCTTAGTCTGACCCCTAGCAAGAGCCAGCAAAGAGGACAGGTGGCAGGTAGGAGCTGCCTGGCTCAGGTACCCTTGTAAGTGCTCTAAGTCAGGGGGTGTAGGGATGGCTGCCGAGGGAGTCTTTTCATGTGCCCCATATCACTGTCCAATGAGACACACAGATACCTCTCTTAGCCCAAAGCAAGGTGGTATGGGGCCTCTGTACACTTGAGAGGACAGAGGAAATTGGCACTCTAGAAAAGCAGCGTGAAACTCAAGAGATCCTCCTGTCTCTCTTCCCAAAGAGCTTTTCTGGCAGATTTCCCTGCCAGCTGATGTACCCCAAGCCCCACCTGCTTCTCTCCAGGGTTCCCCAGCCCTCGAGTTTCCTCCCAGCATCATTTGCATCATCTTTGATTCAGGATTTTGCCTGTCCTCTTCTCTCCTCTCCTTTCCCAGCGAGAGGCTCACTGGTTCCCATCATTTCTCCAGCCATTCC